TTAAAAATATAAAATTTGAATGAAAACAGAAATTCAAAATACTAAAACAAAACCTACACATTTTAGTTAATATAATCAGACTACTTTTTGATTACTTTTAGATTACTTTTAACGTAACTCGTTTATCACATTGATTTAAATAGGATAATATTGTACCATATTGATGTTAAAATGCAAAGAAAATATAATCAATGTGTTGTTATTAACAACATAAAGTGAATTAAGCATTACATTATGTCAAGGTTTCCCAAACTGGAGTTTGTGAAGGAACTTTAGTGGGTTTGCGAGTTTAATGCAACGCTAATAATGAAAGGAAAATTTAAAAGATTAGAAAATCAATAAATTATGAATAATTTACTGCTATTGTGTGAATAAATATATGTATCAAGTAATCAATAAAAAGTAACTGTAGTCTGATTATGAGTATTTTAAAATGTAATTTATTCTAATTACAAGTACTTAACTTTTGGAATATGATTATGTAATCCAGATTACTCAGTTACTAGTCCAAATATATAATTAATAATAAAAAAAAAGATATATGATAAATATGGTTTATTTGTCAACCTGGGAATTGAAGGTGCATTCAATCCTATTGCACTGTGGAGATGCAGTATATTTTAACAAAATGAGGTATATTAACTACCTGGATATTTCACGCATACAGAAAAAAAAAAAAAATGATGCACAGAATAAATATTGCAGATATGGTACAGTATGCTATTTCAAAATTCAGAAATGATATTCAAAAATGGGCAAGCCAAAATGTCCTCCTCAAAATTCCTATTTGAACTGTAAACACATCAGCACTACATGATGTCTGAAAAGGTACACTTTGGCAGACAGTTTCTTAAATGCAAATCTAGTACAGCAGCCCAACACATACATGTGGAGGAACCAGTGCTCTTTCTTAAATGAGACAGGAAGTAGAATAGCCTGAGTACGTGGGCAGAATGCATTTCACAGGCTGACAGCCCAGCAGTCTCTTTTAGACATTCAGTGCACCTCACTGTAGCCTTTCATTATGTTTCAAAAGAGCTGTAGCACTTCTGAGCTTCCTGTGAACTTCACTGCTTAAAAAACTCAATTACACACTGCATGACAAAATAAACCAGATTTTTTACATATTCTGAAGAATATAAAAAGTATAAAAGTCACTGCCAATGCAAGGGTGTTGATGACGTTTCTTTCGCCGTTGCTAAGGTGCTCCGGGTGGTTTTATACACATTTCTATGCAGTTGCTAGGCTGTTCTTGATGGTCACTAGGTGGTTACTTCCTGGCCAAAAACAGCCCACCACTGTAGTCAATTCTTCAATTTAAGGTAACATTGCAACCTTTTTTATAATCAGTATTTTTTTTATATTAAGTCTGTTTTCTATTAAAAATGTATAAACATCCTTCAAACAAGACACATTTACATATACATAAATATAAATAATACATTTTCGTACCCTACTGGCAAATCCTCACAAAATTGTGTTCAATTAATCAATCAAATAAATGAATAAATATTTAGCTTCAAGTAAATTTCTCTTGTTTGAAGGATGTTTAGGTATTTTTTACTGGAAAACACAA